TCGGGCCGATCATAGGGTTATCGAGGGTGCTCTATAGATTGATGGGTATATGTGTGGGTCTATTTTAAGTCCTTCACTCAGAAGTAGGGTATTAGGAGGTCCCAAAAAAACTTGAATGGACCTTTCTCTCTTATTATAAGGACAACATATTGCCATGTTCGGGCAGATCATAGGGATATCGAGAGTGCTCTATCTATTGATGGATATATGTGTGGGTTTCTTCTAGTTCCCTCGTCGAGATTGACAAATCAGGGTGTCGTGGATCAGTTGAAAGCGACTAATCATGTTTAAGAGGCACTTTTCTCGCTTTTTGTGGACACAAGTGATAGCGATGGTGGGGCGTATCCTAGGGTTCTTGGAAACGGTCTATCGATCGATAGCCGTATGTGTGAGTGCTGGCGTAACTCTCCATGGATAGATCGTTTGTAATGAAATATAATAACAAATAGTGATTCTATATCGAACGAATTACAATAAACAAAGACGGCGCGTCGCGATATTATGCGATGAATGTTTACAGTCGGCATATTGTTACAGAAGTCGTACACGGTGACTGTTTATGGCAATTGTTTACATCGGCCGTAAATCATCATAAAATGTCGTCTACCATCGCCGTAAGCGACTAGCGTATACTGCTCCCCTACACTGTGTTTTACGACATTTAATAATACCAGCGTGTACAGTCGCCGTTTTGCCACGCTAGTCGTTTCCGATGATATTTTACGGTCAATGTTTACAATCGCCGTAGTATGCTGTAAAGCATCATATACGACTGTTGTAAAGGATCACCGGAAACGGCTGACGTATACGATGCCTTACGTTATTTTCCGACCAGAGTATATGGTCACCGTATTGTTACGTTAGTAGTTTACGGTGAACTTTTACGGGCACTGTGTACGATTGCGGTAATATGCTGTAAATCGTCGTTTACTGGTGCCGTATATGACTAACGTAAACAGTTGCCGTTTTTCACCGTATTTGGTTAGTGAACGGCCGTTTACTGCCGAGCGTGATTGACCTGGGAAGATGTGACTGTTCTCAATTAGGTATCAACAAGAAAAACTTATTTGAAAGACAAGATAGACAGTTTCATAGAGTTGAAATTCTCTATGTTTTAATATAAAACTAAACATATTTTCTTAATAAAGATTAAGCAAAAACAATCGATATCTACTTTTTTTTATTGATTCTTATACAAAATTTATGAGGTGGAATAAATTTGTGACATCTTTTAAATATTATATAAATATAAATATATAGTATTTTGAACCTTAGTATTTTTTATAAAATGATATCTTCCTAAATTATTAAAAAAATCTAATCTTTGCAGATACAGGAATATGATTCTCTTCTAATGCTAGTGTGAGCATTCTACTTCCCAGAAAGAAATCCACTATGATTTTCTCTTACGCATTAGTATGCTTACTATAAGATTTTAAAAGTGGGAAAATATTTATTTATTCACATTGTATTTAAACAGTGCCAAAATTTTTGAAAGCCTTCTACAGAGTGAATAAAAAAGCGAATAATCGATATACTCTTACTTTCATGCTTGTCACGACGAAAGTTCTCTTTTGCATATTCATGATATCATAGGAAAATTTTCAAAATAAATAGCCACAACTTTTATTACTCTATCAAAGTATACTGTCAAAACGAGGTCATTGTTCAGGACATTCTAAGAAGTAAAAACAATTTTTGATCAAACAAAAAACTTGCTTTACTATCATAAATTTCTAGATCGTTTTTCATAGGAAGAAAAATATATCCAAAAAAATGACATGATTTTGTTTTCTTTCCTACAAAAGTATCTATCAGCATATGTTTTTTAATATATTTTTCGTACTCATCATTCTCACTTGCAGACATTTTCTTTTTTTCAGGCTTCTTTGTGTTTTTAATTTTTCACCAAGATATGTATATATCGTATTGAAATCACTCCAATTTTTTTAAACGTATAGTTAATTTTAATTTTTGAAAAACTCAAACTGTAGAAATTAAACTGTTCAGTGATGCTCCGATCTTTTGATAAAGTCGAAAATAAAAATTGAAAAGATCGGATAGAAAAAACATTAAATTGGTTAGTATCCATAATCTCGAAAATACTAGTGTAATCATGATTGTAAACACACAATATATGTTTAAAATCGTTTTGTCTTAGACAAAAAACAATTAGTCTATCCATTTAGACCATTCTAAGAGAAAATTTCTGTGATATTTTGGATTGCAAATAGTTTTATCTCTGAACCAAAAGCAAACATACAGGCGATAAGAACTCTTAGTGCTCAGTTGTTTTGATCATTTTTAAAATTATCTTTTGAAAAAAAAACATGAGAAACAACTTTAAAATCTTTCATACAGCATCTTTAAGATATCAAAATCAATATACCAAAAACTCTGAAGTCATAAGTCTTTATCATATATTTAAGCACTGAATTGGAGTATCTTTATAAAATTTGTTCGAATTTCAAAAAAGAAATTATTTACATCTCATTTTCTAGTGATAAAAAATTGAAAAATACCATGGCTCGTTTCAATCCTCAATATCATAAAAAAGCACTCGAAACAAAGAGAAAATTCTACATTACAAAACTTACTCTTTATTAATCTCTCTCTAGTAATAGCTCTTTATATATAACAAATATTGCACAACTATTGTATTTGAATAGAAAATGATAAAAACTTATTTCTATTTTATTGTTAGATAGAACTCTAAAGATAAAGGAACCAAAAAGTTTAATGAAGTTTTTCTAATATTCTTCTATCTTGCAAAAATGTCTATCTGGTTAGTTTGCACGTGACAAAAACTTATATGATTTTGTATATATCGTGTAAAAAAAAGTTCAAAATGTTAGAATTAAGGTAAGGTATTGAACTTTTTCCTTTCGAAGAAATCAATAGTAAAACTGTAGAAATTATCCGTATCCTTTTTAACGATTTTGGAAACATGTCTTTTAATAATTTGATTATTTTTGCTCATACTCAAATTCTATATAATAAGTTGTAAGCACTCGATGTTGGATTGAACTTCTGCTTCCTTAGTGCTACAAAAAGCACATCTTCTTCTTGTTGTTTTCACAAGCAAATGCATTTCATTATCAAAATTAAGAACAGTTTTCGGTAATGCTATTTTAGACTTGTTTTTAGATGGTAGTCAGCCACGACTTATTCATTCGCTACTAGCGTAAAGAGACTTTGCCCTAGAAATCATGTAGTTTAGGTATATTACTTTATCCTGAACTAACTGATTATAGCAAGTAAATGAGTTGGAAATAGATGCATTTAGAAAGTAAATGAAAATACGAAGCCAGTTTCTTTTAGACTTGCGATCGAGATTGTAGCACGATATCCTTCGGTTGAGTCGGTCAACTTCATGGACAAACTGATAATAATCTTTTATTGCTTGCGGACAGTTGATTTACTGATCTAGTCTAATCGTTCCACTGACCTTTATGTTCTGTAACTTTAGTTTATCTAACAATTCGAGAGAAGTGAAAAAGTTATCGAAAACTAGATGTTTTCCTTCAAAGTTATGATCAGAGATAAGATCAAAAACAACATGTGCGCCCAAAAGTATTTCTTTTTCACTGATTTTTTTCTTTTCCTAAATAGATTTGATAGTTGAATATCAAACTGTGTACTCTCTTTTTACCAGTTTTAGAAGCAAACATTGCTTGACACTAGGCCTTCTCTTGAATTTTATTATACTGTCGTCAATGGTATCATAGCGACCAAACTTATAATTTTTCTGGAAGCTTCTTCGTAAAATTTCAATAAAATTCTGAACTTTGTAAATTTTACTATAGTTCTTAGATTCCCTTTTTCGTTCCAATGAGTTATCGGCTAAATGTAAATTATAGAAAATTTGACGAAAACGATTTCTTGACATACTCGAAGGGAAAAACGTATTATGGAATACCATATCGTTACTCCAGTAAAGTTTCACATTTGGCAAGTCATTGATAATCATTAGAATGATCAACCCGAGAAATGACTCAATATTTTTTTTACTGATATCCTTCCAATTACCGATTTTTCTTTGATTATGACTTCGTTTGTTTCTCTTCCCATAAATTTTTTTAAGAGAAATTGAGGTATGATAACCATTTTGCGATGTAACTTTCATTCATTGATATCAGCTCCTCTATATGCATATCGGTACCTTCATCGGAAAGTTCAAGTTCATCTGAATTATCAACCAGTTCATCATAATCCAAATTGAAGTCACTCTCGCTATTGTCATCACTAGAATATGAATCACAGGACTTGTTATCGACTTCATTAATTCCATAGAATTCCATTTGTTCAGGTTTTTATTATAAAAATGGTGTAAATATACGAAGAGGATAGTGCAACAAAAAAATGATATGCTTTTCAAATTCAAGAATGGTGTAAATTCGTCAATGAGAACGGGAATACATATACTAACTTTATAGAAACTGAGAATATTCTGGAAAACAATTAGAGAAGAGGAAGATCATGACGTCATTATACTGTAACAGCAAGAACGAAGCATATTTAAAACGAAACTCTATGAAAGAAAGAAACGTAAACCAAACACTCTTTCCTCTATTGGAGCATAGGTAGGACAACGTATGTCCCACGGTCCTCAAAGTGTTAAAGAAAAACAGCATTCCTCTCATGATTTCGATATTAATTTATTGATTTTTCAGAAGTGTCCTAGAACCACCAAAAACAGAGCTACAACACTAGATCAAGATTCTATTCCTAATTACTACCGGTGAGATATCCAAACTGTCGAGGCACAATTTACTACCTCGTTTGTTTAAAAATAGGAGAAAAAGCTCATACTTCCAAAAAAGTTTGATTAAAACCGTTAGAACAGTAGTTAGGAACGTTTTTCTATAGATGCTCATAAAAAAACACAAGCAGGAAATATAAGTCTCAAAAAATGACATGTTCGATCAGATAATAAATCTAAAGCACTAGATATCTCATGAATTGACATCAAAATGAAGAGCTCATTTTCGTTGACATCAATGTTTATTTCTACTTCATACTTTTGTTTTATTTCAGTACCACTACATGCAAGTATGATTGATATTCGTCCAAATGCCAGATGGACAACAAATGGTATCACCGTTGCTGGAGGAAATGGATATGGCAGTGGAACCAATCAACTTTCAAACCCATTGAGTTTGTACGTCGATGATGATCAAACAATTTATGTTGCTGATCAATATAATCATCGTATTATGGAATGGAAACCTGGTGCAACGAATGGAAAAGTGGTTGCTGGTGGAAATGGATCGGGGAATGAAGCTCATCAATTATATAATCCATATAGTGTGATTATCGACAAAGAGAGCGATAGTCTCATCATCTTCGATTCCGGGAATCAAAAAGTAGTTCGATGGCCTTGTCGAAATGGTACTCGTGGAGAAACAATTATTTCAAATATCACTTGCTGGGGTTTGACAATGGATGATAATGGATTTCTCTATGTCGCTCACTATGGAAAACATGAAGTGAGACGATATAAAATTGGTGACACTCAAGGAACAGTAGTTGCAGGTGGAAATGGACAAGGAAATAGTCTTGATCAACTCTCTAATCCCTACTACATATTTGTCGATCGAGAACATTCAGTTTATGTGTCTGATTATGGAAATCATCGTGTCATGAAATGGGAAGAAGGTGCAACACAAGGCGTTGTCGTAGCCGGTGGTCGAGGACAAGGAAATAGTCTTACACAATTGCATTTGCCTTATGGAATCATTGTCGATCAATTGGGTACTGTCTATGTGGCTGATTATGGAAACAATCGTATCATGCGTTGGCCAAAAGGAGCTACCCAAGGAAGTGTCATTATTGGTGAAAACGGTCAAGGAGCACAGTCGAATCAACTCAATAATCCTGTAGGTTTATCATTCGATAGACATGGCAATCTCTATGTCGTCGATTGCAGAAATTATCGAGTACAAAAATTTAACATCGAATAAACTCAATTCGGATGATTTTTTTTTCTTCTTTTGTTCTTTTTTCTCTTCCAATAAGTCACAATTGTATGAAAAATGCATTGACAACTATTCAATTCTCGCGCACACGCGGGAAGACTCACATCATTCACATGCACCCATTCGGTGATATATATCAGTGAGCCTGGGGCTCGATCGTCCTGTAACGGACACCAAGACAGTTCCTGGCCGGACTTTTAGGGACTACCCGGAAGTCCTTCATATAAGGTGAAACCCTTAAATTCTTTTGTTCTGGTACAGGTCTTTTATTTATTCGTGAAAATCCTCATATTAGTCTCTACGATATCTTTATTTATACAACATCAAGTTGTATGAAATGTGCACTTACGAATAGTGATCATGGAATTATTCGTGCACTTCATTTATTTAACAATAGTGTTTTTGTTTGGAAGGAAAAGTTCCTTCAAGATTATTATATATTGATCGAACAAATTGTAAATTTAAATTAGCATTATTTAATAGAAAATAAATGAGGTACAGATGAGGAATTTCTTTTTTTCAAACTTCTTTTGAAACATCTCTTTAGGTATACTTTATATGGTTCGCACAGAAAAATTAGTTGAAAAAAGTGTTATTTATCTTCAAAGAAAGCTTCTCCAGAAGTTGCATTTCATTTTTTAAAAGCTGGAAAAACAACATTTGTATTGGTCCTCAAATGTGGAAATAATGACGTAAGTTAATTGTGCGTTTTTTTTCTGTTAAAATTAGTTTCAATTATTTTGATTATATTCGAAGCTGTTTGAGCTTTGGATGAAAAACATTGATGGGAGAAATTACTAGTTGTTTTTATCTTATTTTTTTTGTATACCTGAAGTACGAAAAGATGTTAGTGGACGCTTTCAAATTGAAATGTTATTAGACGTTGAAGAATATGTTAAACTTCTTCGACAAGATAATCAAAGTAACGTTTGAAATTGTTCCTTTTTTCTCAGAGAAAACTATTAAATTTGTTTCGCTTTTCAGATATTACAATTACTTGATGAAAAAGTAATTTATGATTGATAAAAAATTTTCATGTTAATACTTCTTCCGAGAGGATTTTAAAAAAATCAAAGCAATCTAGAAAATTTTTTTAATTTTCTAATATTTCTAAATGAAAGTCTTGAAAACGAGTTATAGATTTTCATGGAAATATATCAATTTTCGAAGATATTAAATAACTTTAAGAGTCTTAAATTATATCCAGCACATAGTTTGTATAAAGAAATTGATGATAATTCTTGAAGTTTCTTTCGTGATTGAATGATAAGGGTTTTTTGAAATAGATTGCAAAGAATCATCATATCATAGTTAATTTACTTTATTTTCTCTGATTGATATTCATTAACATGTAGGTTGTAAAAAATAAGAAACCTTCATATTCTGTTTCTAAACCGAACTAAGTCAACAGTCTGAGACGTGAATCAGAATATTGTTGCGTGTTCTTTGTTTAAGTAATATGCCAGATGTGAAATAATAGGATAGAGATACATTTGATCAATATTAATGTCTAGTTAAATTTGATACTTCCAAATAAAATACTTATTTATTTTAGTGACCTCAAATAAATTTAGATGTTAAATTAATATTACCATCGTGTCCAATAAGTCAACACAAATCACATCAGATTTCATATCAAATATAAACGCAAAACGTGCTGCAAGTTTTCACATTGATGAAAATAGTAACAAGTGGTGGAGCCCTAACTAATGATAAACAGGGTGAAGATTGAGGGGATACTGGAATTGAATTGCCACCTGATTTTGTAATGTTTTTATTCACATATATTCACCTTCACATACAGCTTTTACAGCACCTCCATCATTATAATCATTATATGCTTATCCATTAAGAAATTGATTTTTATTTATTTATTCAAAACAAATAAAATTAAAAGTAATTAATTAAATGCAGTAAAGAATGGGGGCGCATAAGAGCCATTTTTGGGTCATCTTTATTTTTGGTCGATTCATGGTTGACTAGATGCAGAATTTTGCGAGGAATCGTTTGGTGACAAAATAAAGCTACTTTTCAAGAGTTTCTATGGGCTTTTACCTCAAATACTGTTATTGACTTTTGTGCTATAAATACATGATTCACATGCAAAAGAATCGGACATATGCTTTTTTCCCAAGTAAGATGTTACAAACCCAAAATTATGTCAAACGACTGCCAACCTCAAAGTCTATGATGGGTAAAAATTTCAACACGAACGATCTAACTTTTGCTAAGTAATAGAGTAAAACTTATCCGGAGTCAGCATAAAAATCATATAATTATCTTATCACTTATATACATTTCTCTTCATTGTTTTCTCAATATCTCGAAAAAAGAAAAAAAACACATGGATTTTTAGTTGATTCTTATAGCTCCAAAGAAGAGCTACAAAATGAGACATTTTTCAATTTTCTTAGAAGTGGCCTTCGTTGAATCAGCCCATCTGAATTTCCTTGGAACCTCATACTTTTGCATTTTCCACCAGTTTTCAATAGATTTTCATCGGAAAAAATCGAGTTTGACTGAAAAATAATAACATATTTGGGATCAGCATAAAAAATTGAGTCAGCCTATGTCTGTTTTAACTTTCTTTTACGAACTTCTTTTCTCGAAAATTTTACCTGGGGTCCTCCTCAGGGATCTGCCAGAAAATAATTTTTCTTATAAAATCATTTAATCAGTGAAAAACAAGCTATGAGCCGATGAAAAGTTATTATCACACAAAAGTACAAGGAAATAAACAATAAAAATGGAGTTTGGGCAAAAGTCATTTCCAGGCAGATCCCTGAGAGTAGAGCTTGTCGGGTAGGACCCGGACCTTACCCGGCCCCGCTCGGGTCCGGGTCCGGATCTGAAAATTTTTTATAATCGGGTCCGAGTCCGGGTTCAGGTCCGGGTCCAAAAACTGGTTTCATACAAATAATGACTTTTTAAAATTTGTTTTCAGCCGTTTTTCATTTTATTCAAAAAGTAATTATAAATTAACTTGTCAGAGATAAAAAAAAAATAGTAATATAACTTGTTGAATATAATATGTAAGTCGTATAACTAATAGAGAAAACAAAATAATGTGATGATGTTTTACAATGTTCTTTTTTTATAAATAAGATTTGGCAAAATTAAAACAAGTGTTACTGTTAATCGATAAGGCGTTCAATAAAACAAATAATATAATGTTGTCTTAATTTGTTTTATATAAACATGAATGCATAACAACAAAATAAAAACAAGTATCATTGTGTGCTTGTTAAAAAAATGATGTGACTGCCTTAATTTGTTTTTATAAATATGAACTAGTAACAATAAGGCAACTATACCTAATAATGGTATAGCTGATAAACAAAAGAAATAAGATAAAGTTGTATGAATCTAAATCTTTATCTCGGCATCTGAAGTTATTGGCAAAGAATTAGAGCCGATTACAACTTGATTATAGATCATGATCAATATAGCCTAACTAACATATAGGTGGTGATAGTGATCGATATGATTGAAAAATAGATCTCATATTTATGACGTATTATCAGACTTCGATAGGAATAATTCATTGAAAATGTCCAGACTGCCGGCCAATTCAGAGTTATAAAAAGTTTCATCAACGGAATATGGGCTCAGGTCCGATAAGTTTTAACCAGCCGTGTCAGGATCCGAAAAAGTTTAATCGGGTCCGGTCCGGGTACCAAAAAGTTCAGCCGGGTCCGGGTCTGAAAATCTTGGACCCGACGGGCTCTACCTGAGGGGCACACCAGGTAAAATTTTCGAGAAAAAAACTTCGTAAGAAAAAGTTAAAAAATACATAGGCTGACTCAGTTTTTTATGCTGATTCCAAATATGTTATTATTTTTCAATCAAACTCGATTTTTTCCGATGAAGATCTATTGAAAGGGTGTGGGTGTGTGTGGTTGTGTGTGGTTGTGTGTGTGGGTGGGTGTGGGTGGGTGTGGGTGTGGGTGTGTGTGGTTGTGTGTGTGGGTGGGTATGGGTGTGGGTGTGGGTGTGTGGGTGTGGGTGTGGGTGTGTGGGTGT